TAAAAATTTTTTTTTTTTTTTTTTTAATAAGATAATTGGTCAACAAAAAATAGTTTATATTTTATAATATCATCATGTCATAAATTGAGACGGATACATATTGCTTTAAAGAAAATTTCTCATTCTGAAAAAAAAAAAAAGATTAGCAATTTTTATTTATTAATTTTACTACATATTTACAATTGATTTCCCATGCCAAAAATTTTATCATTTAACTTAAAACTTTTAACATATGAAATTATTGATCAGATAACTAAATTTTATTGGTCAAAATTTTTGAGTTTAATTGTGATATGTACCGGTAAACCGAATTTATAACTTTGCGTCGCTTATTAATTAAATAATTATTTACTTTTATCATAAAAACACAAATGTATTACAGTATATTAGTATACCACCCTTATAAAGTAATTTAATCATGAGTATTGTTAATTTACTTTTACCTTGTATTTATTTATTAAAATTCTTTTAAACTATGTTATTATTATTGCGAACTACAGTGCATACAACTTAGTCCCAGCAATTAAATTTGATGAAATTTAAATCACTACTATTCATTCAAAAAAAAAAGATAAACATGAAGTATAAACATACAATGATAAACCAAATTAAGCTTAATAAAACTATGTTTTTAAATTTCCTATAAAGTATTTTTTAAGAAAGTAGTAGCAATTCAAAGTTGAAATATTTTACTATTAAATTAAATATTTGGCCATTTTATTATGACCAGAATTACATGTAAATCTGACCAAAATTACTTTCGTTTAATTATTAACTATGTAAATCTGGCTAGAATTAAAAATTATAACTTAAATTAAATAAATCTGACCAATAAACTTAAGGGTTTAAGTATTACATAATATAAAAAATTTGGCCACTTAAACATTTTTTTGTTGGGACTAAGTTGTATACACTGTAGTATTTACAGTACATACGTTAGCTGCAAGGAATTTATTATATATTATTTTAACATTCTTTTATAAAAGTTAAAATAACCAACTTTAATCATAATCATCATCATCATTTAAAGAAAATGAAGTTACATATTTTTGTCCATTGACTGCATTCTCCGCAAATGCTGAAATTTCCATTTGACCAAAGGAAAGTCCAAAGGTAACTGATCTATTATAACCTAAATGAACATCTGGAAGGTCAATTCGCAATGATCCTAATAATTCCACTCCAGGTTCATCACAATATTCTACATTATATTCGGAAGTTCTATACAATGCAAAGTTCAATGCTGTTTGAGATGGGTTAGAGGGCCTATGGTTACTTGAGTTAAATACTTGATCTACTTTTACTACTGTCCCTTTTCTTACCAGAGGACTAAATTTTATAACTTTTCCATGAAAGATTTTTCTCTCAATAGGGTCACCTTCTTTCCAATCAACGCACAATTTAATTCCATAAGTATATTTGAGAACCCTCGAAGAAATAATACAATCGCTCGATTTAATAGATAAACCATAAACTACAGCCCCACGTGAAATTGCTGCTATAGGTTGATCGGAAATCCTAAGACATTTTATATAATGACAAAATTCCTGTTTAATCCTTCTTTGCAAATATTTGTTTTCACTAAAACCTCCAACTAAGAAAATTGCGGAGCAAGCTTTTTGAATATTTTCAAGTTGTACATATATCAAACGAATAATTCTATCAATTATAGGATCAAACATTAATTTTATGTCATTAAAATTAACCTTAATTAACCATTCATCCTTTTCCATCATTTCCCTGATTTCTTCATCGACATATTGCAATAAATTTGGAGAAATATTTTCAATATCTAATTCATAATAAAATTCTCTATTAACTCCTGTAAAAGGTTCTTTTGCATTTTTACGGAATTCTTGAACCAGACATTGAAATTGGTCATAATTATTTTCTTTTAAGTGATCTATAGCTCGATATCCAAGTTTTCGACGTAAAAACTCAATAAATTCTCTGTCTATAAATGTACTTCCACAGAAATATCCAATACGTTCGGTAATTTCACTTAATTTATTTCCAACTAACTTACGAGTAGTTAAATCAACAGTACCGCCACCACAGTCAACAACCATAAAAGTCTCTGAATATTTAAAAATCAGTCAAATCAATAAAATAATTCTTTTTAATTAACGTTCATAATTATAATAACTTACCTTCTATATTTAATAAATCATATTTTTGTAATTCATTTTTCATACAATAAATTGCTGCAGCTTCAGCTGTAAACATAAAAATTAGTTCATCCATTAATTAAAACTAGAGATTCAAGTCCTTCTTTTATTACTTACGTGCTGAGATAAATTGTAGATTTTTCGAATATTTATCATTAATGAGATTTGCATTATATGCACATTCTCTCATAATAGCAATATATTTTTCAGAATATTCTGCAGGAACAGTAAGAATCAATAAAACATTTTCAAAGAAATTAATATTCCAGTGGGTTGCGATTGTATCTTTAATGACCTTAAAATTTCATTCAAATAAAATTAATAAAATATATAAAATATATTATTTGAAATATAGTATCAATAATTTAATTCATACCTTTCCAATTTCTTTAAGATAATCAGTAATAGCCTTTTTATAATCAACTGGAAGTTTTGGTCTTGAATTTTCTTGTAGGTTTCCCAAAAATAATTTAAATAATTCAACAAGTTTATTTCTTTCATTATATTGATTATTTTTTTTTGCGATTTTGCGTATTTGTTTTTTAACTAAAGCTGGAGCACCCCAAAGTAACACATTATTATACTCATCATCATATCGAAGAATTGTATTAATCTTTAACTTGCCAACCTTTCCAGGCCATATTTCATTTGAACATATATTTTGTTTATTAGCAACATGACAATAAGAGAATCCAGAGTAAGTTGTTCCAAAGTCTAATCCAACCACGACTTTAATATTAGAATAAGGTAGTGATTTACTACCTGGATCTTTTTTAAAACATTTAAAGTGTAAAAATATAATTAATTTCGTTATTAAACAATATTTGCAAATTTTTTTTTAAAAAAATATACTATGATAATTAACATACCTTTGTTTGAAAAACTTGCCAGAAAATCTTCATTGTTTTCTCTAAAAGTTTTAATAATATTCTCATTGATTTCTTCTAATTTCAATATCCCTAAATTTTTATCTAAATTTTGAGACATCATTTCAAGTTTTTTTAATTGTTTTAATTCTTCATTTCTTTGATTTTCCAAATTTGAAACATATCGTTGAAATTCTTCAAATTTTTTTTCCTTTTCTTCAAGTTTTTCTTTTAATTCAGAATTAATTCGTGAAACTTCTTTATTTTCTTCAATTAAATTTGAATTTGTACATGAAATTTCTTGATTTTTTTCATTTAATTCTGAATTTAAACGTAAATTTTCTTGATTTTTTTCTTCAAGATTTTTACATTGTTGCTTAATCTTTTGATTCTCTTCTAATAAATTAATAAATTTATTATTTAATTCATAATAACTAAATCCAAGTTTTTCAATAAATTCACGGGGTTTATCAGAAAATAAATTTTCAGAAGAATCATCCATTAGTCATAATAATTTTATTTTTTTTTATTTTTTTTTTAAAAAAAAATTTTTTAAGGAGTACATTCGTCGTACATGTCGCACATGTCGCACAACTTTGCTGCGCCGTTGTGAACGGTACAATAACTTCTTCCCTGCGATCGCAGAAACTAAGATAAAAAGTCCTTGTCAATAACTAAATTTGAAATAACTATTAGATCATTTTCATTTCTTTGATTGGTATTTATTTGCAAGATTAAAGAGATATTTATTGACGTACACATATACACGGTAGTAAATTTTACACACATCTTGTACTAAATATCAAAAATATATTTTTTTTTTATTTTGATAAATCATCCTTATTTAGTTTGATTAATTAAAACAATAAAAGATTACTTGATCATTTGTTGTTTAAAAATGGGAAGGTTTGGAACTTTGGATTTAAAAGGTAAAGGATGAAATTTAAATCAGTAAACCGATACTATTTGGTTAGGGGTATGCCAAAAAAGGAGGTCGTCTAAAGCAGGGGCAAATCACGTGACTTCGAAAAAAATTGTTTTCATAAAATAAAACTTTTTACCATATATTCAACCATTCTAAACACACATCCTAAATGCATTTTTGCCTGCTCTGCAAGTTTACTTAGAGCGCAGAGTAGGGTTTTGAATGCTGTTTTTGATTTATTTGACTTTTTCAATTTCGTTATCCATTTTTGGATATGATTGGTAAAGTTTTGTTCATTCATATGTAAAGTCAAAAACAATATTCATAATCCACTTTTTTTCCTTAAGTAAACTTGCAAAGCAGATAAAAATACACTTATATTATGATTTTAAAGTTTCTATTAATCTTTCTTTATAAAAAAATAATCTAATTAAAATTACACTGAATTACGTGATTTGCCCCCGCTTTAGACGACCTCCAAAAAAGGAAAACGTTTGAAAACTAACCTTATGTTAATGTTAAAATTAATAGCATTTCGTACTTAACATAACCCATTCCCAACTACCACCTATTTGATCAAACAATATTTATATAATATATATATTTTTTTTGCTTACTATTTTTGTAGAATAATGAGTACCCAATTTATTATTGTTGTTATTGTTGTTATTGATGTTATTATTACTATTGTCTATTTTTTATTCTTTCCTTTTTGTCATTTTTTTTTCTTTTATTTTTTTTTACTTTATTTTGCTTCCAAGCTTTATTGGGTTGGCGGTTCTGGTAAGTGGTTCACATGATTTTCTCCCGTCCTTTTTCTTGATTACTAATATTATTAATTTTTTTTTTTTATCAGAATTTAAGATAAAATGATCATGAATTATACCGGAATTTTTTTTACTAAAATACAACTTTTCTTCACATAAATTTTACTAACTATATTAAGTAATATTAAAAATTATAAAATCAATAAAAAAATAAAATTAACTAAACAAAAAAAAAAAGATAATGAATTCTTTTTAGATAGCTACTTTGTGAGTGGAAATCACCGTAACTTGCCAACAACGAACGATTCTTGAATGGAGCAACAGCTGCAGATGTAACACGTGAATGACGTGATGCAGTAGAAACCGCTGCACTCTCTTTATTATTATGCACGCAATCACGTTGTAACAAATATTAAGAAGTGTTTTAAATTCAAAATTATATTAATTTCACAGAATAAAAAAATTGCCAAAATTAATAAAAAAAAAAATAATCTAATCTTTAATCATTCAAAAAAAAAATTCTTTCGTGACTTGATCATTTTTTTCTGACGAAAAAAAGATCTCAGAAAATTATACTTTTTCATAAAAATAAATCTAGATATAAATTATTTATCATTAAAAAAATATACTAAATTTGCAAAAAAAATTTGTTAAATTTAACAGATCTTAATTTCAATGAAAGAACAGGATCAACGACAGAGTCTTTAAGCATACTGACTTGCTTGTAGTGAATGATAAATTGTCAATAACATTACGACTGAAAATGCTTAATCATTTCATAAAGGTAATATTTTTATAAGGGTATTTAAGCACGATTGTAACTTGTTATGAATTATTATGACTGATGCTTTCTACGGTCACCAATAAAATGTTAATGCACTTAGGTACTGAAAAATTAATCAGTACTCCAGCCTCTGGAATGTGGGAATTAGTTCGCTTGACGATGGACTTACATTAAAACGATTACTTATACGATTAGATATTTAAGATAGTAGTAATGAAGTTAACACAAAATATTAAATGATAATTTTACACATAACCATGTCCGTTATTTCAACTGATGATTATCCCCTAAAGAAGTTATAGAAGATTTTTTCGTAAGATAATTTGTAATTTCATATTATTATTTTACAACTACTTGGTAGTAGTAATTTATTATCAATCATCGTATCAAAAAAAAAAAAAAAAAAAAAAGGTTTTGACTCTGTAACATTTATTGTAGTGACGAGAAAATAAATTTGGAAAATAATGTTTGGACTAATATAATTGAATTCAATGGTAAAAGTATAAATAATAGGGACCCCGTATCTCTTAATAGTATCGTTGAATTTAAGCATCAAGCAACGAAATGTAATTTACATTCTCATGACACTAATCATGGGAATTTTACACCAATATCAAAACAACAACAAGGTATTATTGAGTCTAATACAAAAGATAAGCATATACTTACATACTATATATTATCAATTTAATTAATGAACATATGTCCAGGTAGATGATGAATGGCCTATTCGACATTATAATTCTGAGTATTTTAACATTTTAAAGTATTGTAAAACTTTTTTCTTTTTTGTGTTTTATTTGTTAATAGGTAATGATTAAGATTCTGTTTATAAAAAAAATAATCATTTACAATTTTTGTATATTATTTTCATTCAATACTTTTACAATTATAAGGAATAAAAAGTTTTAAATAAAATATGCAAATACAAATGTACCATCAAATTCACATTATTTTATAATTTATATGAGGAATTATTTCATTAAGTGTCAATATTACATAATTCCAGTATATTTGTTTATTACAAAATGATTTTAAAAAAAACTTACAAATCTATTCAGAACTATAAATTAAATGCAAATTCCTATAAAATAACAGCCATATAAATATAAATCAAGTGAATAATTTCATATCTTTTTTAAACAAAACCTTATTATTTTAATATGCTTCATTTGATTTCATTTGGATTTAGATTACTTGGTCTAAGCATTGAGAATTATCATCATATTCTGGAAGGTCTTCTGTAAAAGGATTAAGTAATCGAGATGTGTAAAAAGCTTGTGGATGGGTTTCTATTTGGTAATTTTTAATGAATGAAAGATTTTCTTTTCTATATTCTTCTGCTTTTTTGAATTGCATTTCAATTTCTTTATTTTCTACTTTGTAAAAATCCATTTCATATGAACTATGAAATGACATGATTAATTCATTTACTTCAAAAATATTTGGTCTATTATTTAGATTTAAATCCCAACACTTTTTCATTAAATCAATATAACATTTTGGCGCTTCTGGTTCATTTATTTCAGGCCTAACTCCTTTACAAATGTCTAATGCAAGAAGATGATCATGTGCACGATTGTAAAAAGGTTGTCTTCCAGTAGCTACAAAATACATTACCATACCAAAACTATAAATATCTGATTTTTTAATATAAGGCTTTCTTCTTAATACTTCAGGTGCCACATAAGGCATAACTCCATAAATTTTAGTTTCATCTATATTACCAACCTCTCCACATAATCCCATATCTGAAATTGATATACAATTACCAAATTTATTTATCTTACTTAAAAATAATATATTTCCTGTGTGAAAATCACGATGAACTATACTATTTTGATGAATTTCTTCAAGACCATTAACAATATTAAGCAGTGCAGATAGTTTATCTTTCCAATTAAAATATTCATAATTTTTATTTATCCAATAATTAAAATTGCCTTCTTTTGCATATTGGAGAACCATAATATATTCTTTTGTATCTGGATTTTGAGATATTCCATATATATTAAGAATATTACTTCTTTTATTTATTGAGTATTTTTTAACCTATTAAAATATATAAATAATAAAAATAATTATTTCACAATATTTAAATTAAAGAGAATATTTCTATTACAAATAATTTTAAAATAAATTCATACCTCATTTAAAAATTTATTGCTAATATTTTGTGAATTATGTAAACATTTTAAGGCAATTACTACATTTGGATTCCTTTTATATATTTTATTATCTGTATCATATTCTAATGGACCATTTTTCCAATTTGCAGAATATACTAAAGCAAAGCCACCTTTGCCTACTTCCTTAATATTATTAAACTGATTATATGGTATCCATTCAAATACTACACCACTATAATTATTTATTTTTAATTGCATTTCTTGAATAAGATCATCAATTTTTTCATTTCCACTAATCCAATTTGCCAAGTTTATAGTATAGCTTTGAATCAAAATATAGTCTCCTGTATCTGGATTTTGAGATATTCCATATAACACCTGAAATGATTTGTGTTTTGTAGGATATTTTTTAGCCTAAGTATAAATAAAAGAAATTTAAATATATTAATTAAAAAAAGTATTTAAATATTTGAAGAAATTAAATACCTCATTTATTAAAAAATCAATAGATTCTTGTGAATTATGTAAATATTTTAATGCAACTTTTTTATTTGAATCTCTTATATGATAGTTTGAAAATTCATATCTTTTGTATAATGGACCATCCTTCCATATTGCTGAATATACTGTTATAAGACTATTTTTATTAACTGTCTCTTTAATTTCATTAAACTGATTGTATGGTATCCATTCAAATACAATATCATCATAGTTATGAATTTTTAATTGCCTTTCTTGAATGAAATTATCAATTTTTTCATTTCCACTTGCCCAGACAAGAACTAAAATATAATCTCCTGTATCTGGATTTTGAGATATTCCATATAATACTTGAAATGCTTTATATCTTGTTGGATATTTTTTAGCCTAATAATAAAAAGAGATTGTAAATATATTAATTAAACAAAGTATTTGAATTTGAAGGAATTTCATACCTCATTTATTAAAGAATCAATATATTCTTGTGAATTATGCAAACATTTTAATGCAACTTTTTTATTTGAATCTCTTGTATAATCACTCCATTTATACATTTTGTGTAATGGACCATCCTTCCATATTGCTAAATATACTGTTATAAGACCATTTTTACCTGTCTCTTTAATTTCATTAAACTGATTATATGGTATCCATTCAAGCACTATATCATTATAGTTACTAATTTTTAATTGTCTTTCTTGAATGAAATCATCAATTTTTTCATTTCCACTGATCTGATTTGCCAAGTTTATACAACTATTTTGGACCAAAATATAATTTCCTGTATCAGGATTTTGAGATATTCCATATAATACTTGAAATGCACTATGATTTGTTGAGTATTTATTAGCCTAGTTATCAATAAAAAAAGTTGTAAATACATTAATTAAAAAAAAATATTTAAATATTTAAAGAAATTTCATACTTCATTTATTAAAAAATCAATGGATTCTTGTGAATTATTTAAACATTTTAAAGCAACTTCTTTATTTGAATTTCTTGTATAATTTCTATAGATATAATTATATTGCAATGGACCATCCTTACATATTGCTGAATATACTGTTATAAGACCATTTTTATTAACTGTCTCTTTAATTTCATTAAACTGATTGTATGGTATCCATTCAAGCACAATATCATCATGGTTATGAATTTTTAATTGCCTTTCTTGAATGAAATTATCAATTTTTTCATTTCCACTTGCCCAGACAAGAACTAAAATATAATTTCCTGTTTTTGGATTTTGAGATATTCCATATAATACTTTATAGTTTGTTGGATACTTTTTAACCTTATTAACATAAATAATAAAAGAGATTGTAAATATATTAATTAAAAAAAGTATTTAAATTGAAGAAATTAAATACCTCATTTATTAAAGAATCAATGGATTCTTGTGAATTATGTAAATATTTTAACATAACGTTTTTATTTGAATCTTTTGTATAACTTTCAAATTCATTATTGTAATATAATGGACCATCCTTCCATATTGCTGAATATACTGTTATAAGACTATTTTTATTAACTGTCTCTTTAATTTCATTAAACTGATTGTATGGTATCCATTCAAATACAATATCATCATAGTTATGAATTTTTAATTGCCTTTCTTGAATGAAATTATCAATTTTTTCATTTCCACTTGCCCAGACAAGAACTAAAATATAATCTCCTGTATCTGGATTTTGAGATATTCCATATAATACTTGAAATGCTTTATATCTTGTTGGATATTTTTTAGCCTAATAATAAAAAGAGATTGTAAATATATTAATTAAACAAAGTATTTGAATTTGAAGGAATTTCATACCTCATTTATTAAAGAATCAATATATTCTTGTGAATTATGCAAACATTTTAATGCAACTTTTTTATTTAAATCTCTTGTATAATTACTCCATTTATACTTTTTGTGTAATGGACCATCCTTCCATATTGCTGAATATACTGTTATAAGACCATTTTTATTAACTGTTTCTTTAATTTCATTAAACTGATTGTATGGTATCCATTCAAGCACTATATCATCATAGTTATTAATTTTTAATTTCCTTTTTTGAATGAAATCATCAATTTTTTCATTTCCACTGGTCCAATTAATTTCTAAATATTTCCGAATATTATTTTCTTTCGGAGGTATATTTTGGGAAGACATTGTTTTCAAAAGCTCAAAAATTTTTTCAAATAAAAATTTTATTTATATAACGATTGTAACGTACAAGTGACAGGTAACACAAAAATTTGCATAATTAATGGAGCTGCTTATTTAGATGTCGATCATTTCACTTGTAGATCTTGGTGACATCTCTATATCATCACGGATTTGCCGATCATTTGCCGATCATTTATTTTCAGTGAACCGTGGTTTGAACTGAGTTGACTCAACTCATGGTTCAGTTCGCTCGTACCCTGAACTGAACCGCTAAACCATGGTTCAGTTCAGGTTGATTCAGTTCGAACTGAACTGAACCGCTAAACCATGGTTCAGTTCAGGTTGACTCAGTTCGAACTGAACTGAACTGAACCGAACTACAGTTTTACTGAACCTATAAGTAAATCATGAAATTTTTATCTTTATAATAAATTTAAATTATTTATGCATTTAATACTTACTTTATTTATAAATGTTATGTTATACTTAACACCATATTGTTTTTAATTATACTATTGAATTCTTATTTACTAAAACAATGTATTTTTATTAGTGGTTTTCAATTTATTATTGAATAAATGTTTCTTTAATTCAAATATACATATGCTGATATATTCTTAATATTTATTTCTATTATTATAATAAGAATAATATGATCGTTGCTTCATCTAATTATATTATTAATTGCACATTTTTATTTTTCTGATATGAGATTTATAATGCATATTACATATATTTTGAGTTTTCCTTCTTTGTAATAAAATGCTTGATACTTTATGAGATCATAAATTATTTATTTTGTTGAATGCCATTTGTTTACCACGCCAAGATTACTGCACTTGTGGCATTATTCAATTATATTTTTTTATTATGATTTTAAAAGACCTAAATTGTAAATTTTTAATTTAAGTATTACATGATTTAATAACATAAATATTCTATAATGTCTGGCTTAAACCAAGCTTTTGAAATGAACCAGTTCAATTCAGTTCACTCAAGGTGTGAATCGAACTGAACTGGTCCAGTTCAGTTCAGTTCGAGTCATGATCATCCCTAGTCACATAAGAAAAGGTGTCATTAATGAAACACGTTAGCATTATTCCAAAAATGTGATATATATGAAATCGTACCGTAACTATACTAGGAAAATGGAAAGTTCTTCGTGCTGCATAACTCGCAAGTGCATGTTACGTAATCTACGTGTATTTAGCATATTTCAGGGGGTCAAATAGGTAGTGTTGCATAAATCATGATACATATCTAAAAAAAAGGAAGTAAAATTGTCGATTGTGAAAAGGAACAAAAATGAGAGTTAAACCAAATTTTGCATAGTCCTTCGCTAACGCTTCAGACAATAAATCGCTTACGAAGACAACCTAACGCTGACCGTTTGATCACATGTTCGTGCATAACTCTGCATACCTCTGGCCAAACTTTTGTAAGGCAAATGTCTTGTCGAGAAATCATCCGTCAGGAAAATCGTGCTGTAACCAAATAAATTGCTAGTTTTTTTTTCTTTAAAAAAAAGGCGATTGTTTTAATTTTATATAATGTTATTAATGTAAATATATAAAAGGGAATTTGATGGTTATGATAATATATAGTTTTTCCTTTTTTTAGTTTGAAAAAGTTTTTTTTAGTAAAAAAATCTTAAAATAAAGACGAATTCATTGAATTTTTTTTTATTTAATAATAAATAGTGAATAATAATAGATAATAATAATAAAATAAAAAAACGATTTTTTGAAAGGTAATTTGATATTTATTGTTTGATAATAGATTTTCTTTTTTTGGGTAAAAGAATTTTTTTTTTTTGTACATTGGGGGCTAGAACCGCTAAAATTCTCATTAGGAAGCAAATTTTGTGATAAAAAATCTGGTACAGAATATGAAGATGTAGTTTTAGAATGGGATTACAAAATTATGAAAGATTGAAATGAAAGATTTTTTTTAGAACATACGTAAAGTGAAAATGGATATTCATATGTTTGAGAGATTTACATCATCATATATAGTAACGATCATTCTGACGTCTCAGTCGTCTCACGTTGACAAATTTTTTTTTTTATTTTAAATAAATGTATCATCTTATTTAAATAAATTTAATTACTGATAAATTTTCCGATTATTTATAAGAAATTTAACTATTATACAAAATTTTGTATCGAAGTGAATAATTAATAAATAGTAGTTGAAAAATATATTGTAATAAATATGTGAAAACTATTCTCCTACTGTGCAGTTGCTACAGATTTGCAACTATTCAATAAACAGGATTGCTTTAAAA